CTTCAATTTCTGTTTTTAGTTCAAATTTTGATATTTTTTCTCAATACCTAATGCACTCACTTCGAGAGAATCTAAAGAGTCGAAGAGAGTTTTTCAAATTTCATGCTGGTAACTTCGAAATACTGTGAATTCAACTGAAGTCTTTAAGAGTTTCAGTGGATTGCAGGCCAGCACTTTTTGGGATGACGAAATAGACGAGGGAAAGATGGCGTAAAAATATGATCAAATATCATAAAAAATTAAGGTATCTCTTGTAATCACTAGCTTCCAATGTGCATAGAAAGTTCTGGCTCAAAGGAGTGCTTGCAGACTGTGAGTTGACGCTTATTCTTTTATTTAAAGTGGGCTATTCCTGGTATACAAGGAAACTTACCCTGGTCTCTTCATTATCCTCTGCCATTGCGAATCGTGGGCAGAATATAGTTTCATTAAAAACGGGCGGCGCCCATGTTGTTGTCGGGGTGGTTACTGTTGTTCGGAGAGTTCGAAGAGATGTCGATGCCGAACTTCTTGGAGTTGTTTCAACTGTTGAAACTCTCGTGCGCGTTACTGTTGGTGCAAAAGTGGTCCCAGGAGTAGTCGTAGTCCTAACTACTGGTGGTGGAGTTACCGGATTTTCCTTCTCTTTGTTTACTTCAACATAGATGAGGATATTGAATACCAGCGATACTATGAAAAGGACCGCAACGAGGCCGGTCAGACCTGGAAAATGATGTTTGTTGGTTTTTCATAACTGAGTTCTGAAGTAAACTGCTGTGTAGATTGAAAGTTACTCAGAAGATTTTCCAAATAATACTCATCGAAGGCTTGAAACTCATTAAAAAGGCTTGTCAAGAAATATTCAGCCAGAAAACGTTTTCAGAATGCTTATTTAAACAGGAATAATCTCATTATTTAGATCTTTTTAAAGTCTGCAAGCGAATGCCGTAGCAGAGATCCCTAGGTGTTCACAGATAACGATTCACTAGAAAATTTTTGATTCATAAAATAATCTTTTCTCTGCAAGAAATAGCCTATCAATATAAATTTCAATTTGCATGAAGAAGGAACAAAACTAGGGGGTAGTGGTGCTATGCTTGTCAAGTGTTGAAGTGACAAAAGTGCTTTTTATCATTCTGTTCAAAATGATGCAACAATTAATCCCTTTTTCGCTTAGTTGTGCACATTTCCCTAGATCTTCGCCACATAAATCTGAACTTTTTGTGAAATCTTAAGATTAATTAGAGCAAAAGTCGCCTTC